CGGAGAGAACAAGCCCTGAGCTGTCACAAGCTCTAGTTTTTGGCAGCACAGCCTGGCACTGAAGAAGAGGGGAGGAAAGGAGCAGCAGGACAGTGCAGGAGATGTCCTTACTATGTTGTGGGTCTTGGCAGAGATTGTCTTGACACTGTCGGGGTCCCAGATGACCAGGTCGGCGTCGGAGCCCACGGCGATGCGGCCCTTCCGCGGGTACAGGTTGAAGATTTTGGCTGCATTTGTGCTGGTCACAGCCACAAACTGGTTCTCATCCATCTTGCCAGTCACCTGGGGAAAGAGCAGAGGAGCCACTGCATGAGCAAGGTGAGGACCACTCCAAAAAAAAGGGGGGAAAAACTCAGCAGAAGGACTGCAACGAGCGTCTGGGGGAGATCACAACAACCTCCTGCAGCTCTGCCACCTCTGAACCCGTGACATGGGTGACATGGGTGACATGGGTGACATACCACGGCCTTATCCCAGATGATGGACATCCTCTCTTCAGTCCCATTGGTTCCCTCGGGGATCAGGGTGAAGTTGTCCTTCCCAACAGCTTTCTGAGCAGTGTTGAAGGTGCAGTGGGCACTGCCAGTCACTTGGAGGTCTCCACTGGAAAGGATAAAGACATTTTATTGTCACAGGCTTACTCCTAAAGGCAAAACAGCTTTTTGCTTGCTGGTAACAACAGCTATTTTCTCACCCTCTTGTCTCCCAGCTGGATGAACACAGAGAGCTCTACTCACCAGGACAGTAGTGAGTTGAGAAAATCAGGAGTGGTTGGGTCAGGACTCAGTGGTGGGGATGTAACAAAAGCTGCTGCCTTTGCCCAGTTCTTGCTCCAGTAATGGGATCCATCAGTCCCCAGGCTGGCTGTGATGGGTTCTCCATACACCACAGTGCCTACAGGACAGGGACACACACAAACCCACTGTGAGCACCAAGGAAGGGGCATCTCCAGCCTGGATCCAGGCAAAAAGCATCCTCCTGAGGGAGGACAAGGTGGGCAGGCTGTGCCACCACTACAAGCTGCAGGGTTGGAAGTAATCATAAAGATAATAACAAAGATACTGCTCCTGATCAGAGCCTGGAGCAGCAAAATGTGCACAAACCTTTACACAACTGCTAAGATTGGCACTGATTAATTTGGCTTGAAAGGGTTAGTGTAAAGATTCATTTTACTGTTTATATTCATTTATTTGTTTATCCTGGACCAAGAACGTTATGAAAGAGGCTGAGGGGAACTCTAAGGGCGTGAGGAGATCCAGTCTGATCTAGAAGAGATGTGGAAGAAAAAGAATGAAAAAAATAACCCTGCAACACTTTTATAAACTCCTATGTACAAAAGACCTTCTAACAAGGTTGGGTTTCTTGGAGCAGGGTCTGTGCATAGAAAACTCCTCTCAGGAAAGTTTCCTGTGTGCAGAGGGGAAATATTGGTGTTCCTGGTTCACAAATTCAGCTCTGGGAACGGAGTGATTTCCCTCACAGTAAACCTGTGGCACAACTAGGAAATGAAACTGGATCTTGTGACCCTGCCCAGTGCCCTCCCCACCAGCGCATCCTTCCTGCTCACTGATGGTTTGGGAACCACATGAAGGAAGAGCCCTCGAGGCCAGGACCCTTTGGAATGCACCATCTGCACGCCAAGCACATGCAAGATGCTGCAACTTCAAAAGCAGCACGAGCTGGCAGCCCCAGGGATCTGCTCACCAAATGCAACCCTCCCCAAATCCGTCCTGTGCCCACCCACCTGCCTGCTGAGCTCTCCACGTGCCTGGAGCTGCCTGCAGGAGATGTGGGCAGGGCAGACACCAACCCTGAATCCTTCAGGCAGAGAAGATGGGCAAAGGCAAGCCCAGAATTGGGGTCTTACACCCCTCCATGCAGAGTGAAAATATACATATATTTATTACACTGCACTGCCAGAGCTACTGTTATGTCTGTGAGGTCTTAAACTAGCTGGGAAAGAGTCCATTAGCTGAGGCAAAATGATGAACTGGCTTCATGCTGCTGCCAGGGCCCCACTGACACAGGAGGTGCAGGAACAGCCTTTGTCAGAGGGTTTCCAGCAGCAGAGGAAGAGGCTTTTCTGACATCACTGGCCACAAATAGGGTTCTGAAATCAGAATAAAGCAAAACACACGCTGGCTATTAACGGCAGGCCTGTTGTGGGCCAGGACATTGGGGGGATTGTTCTGCAGGGAGTGATGTTTTGAGCTCCCAGATCTGCCAGCAACAGAGTCTGCAGGGAATCTCCTCCATACAAATGCCACTGGGAACATCTGGCTTTAAATAACATTCGTTCTTTTCCATTCAGCAAATCAATTCTGGCTTGTTTTCGCCTTGGACAGTCTTCAGTTATGTTTCCTCTGTTGCCTGGGAGGGCAAGGCTTGTGTGTGTGGCCCTCCTGGGCTACTGCACAGCATTTAAATTGAATTATTTAAATAAAGGAACAGAGAATGGTGCACCATCTATACCCCAATTTCTCCTTATAAGGAGAAAACACAATTTGAAGGAGAACTCTGTGTTCTAGCTCAGGAGTCTGAGTGAAGTGAGTCCTGTGGGTCATTCATCTGGGAGAATCCCAGCACCTTTCACAGGCAGGACAACATCCAGCTGAGCCAGGTTGTGTTTTATGGCTTCTGTGACCTCATCCCAATGCCCCACTCTACTGGTAGCTGGTCAGGGGTCAGCACCAAGAAGGTGTTTTTTTGTGATGCTCCCCCTCCATGGTGCCTATGCCTCCAGTGTTTTATCTGGAAAAGGGAAGGGATGCTCCCCTGGCTCACAGGATTCAGCTGCACAACGACAGCAGTTGTTTTCTGGGGTGATCCAACATTCAGCCACTTTGCTGTGTCAACACATCCCCCTTCAGCACCATCCCCACCAATGGAGCTGGGAGAGGAAGGTTTATCCCAAAGAGCTGCTTCCACGCCACAAACAGAAAGAGATGCCTTGGGAACCAGTCCTCCTCCCCAGAACTCACTTCACAGGAATCACGGGACCAAAATCCTCCTGAGCCAATGCACAGACACAAATCTGTTTGCTGCAGTAGGAAACCAGCTCTTCTCACACCAAACACCCAGATGGAAAGTGATGTCATTTGTGTATCCATCCAGGCTTATTTGGACTGCATAAAATCAAATCCAAGCCTTGGGAGGAAAGAGGGGGGCAAATCATCCCTCCTGCTTACTCACCCACCCAGAGCTGCTTTAAATAGAAATGAAGGGTTTAGTCACAGGATAAAGCAGGAGACAGGCACTCACTGGGGGGAATCCTCCCTCCTCGAGGGTAGGGCAGCAGGGACAGGGCTCCTGCACCACTCGGAGCAGCTCAGCTCCCTCCCAAACCTCACCCAGAGAGGAGAGACACAAGGCAGCAGCACCCACTGCAGCTCTGAATGTTGCAGAGTTATCAGAGGGGATTGCACTTCCCAGCCTGAGCCAGCCCCTTGATCCCAATTCCTGCCTGGATGTCAGGCTGAGAGCTCCAGCACACGAGCAGGATCTATTCCACAAGCAAGGAGCACAGTGAGCAGCTGGAATCAGGGACTTCTTTGGCTACTCCAACTAAATCCAACAGGGCTAGTGAGTCAACATCCCTGTCAGGGCTCCTGGAATCACTTCTGACCCCGGGAAGATCAGCAGAAAGCACCAAGGAAAAAGCACAGCAGCTGGAAGTTGCAGTCTGCAAGGGGAGTCAGTAAATGGAGACAGCATGGAATGACTCTGGATAACAAGGCAGCTCAGTGTGGGAGGGTGAGTGTGAACAGAGAGGTTCAGCATGAACAGAAGAAACAGCTCCTGGCTCTGACAGGACCACTGAGCACTCGTCTGTGGGAGATGAGACAGAAGCAGTTGCTTGGGACCTTTTAAAACAGAGCCTGGACGATAACACTGGAAAAAGAAACCTTTCCTGTGGGGCTGGAGCTGATGCTGGCAGGGAGCTGAAGTGCATGAGCTCAGAGGGAAACAACTCACCCTTTTTCCTGGCCTGAGCAATGACATCAGCGGCGCTTTTGCTCATCACCTTGGTGATGTAGAGGGGGCAGTTGGTCTGGTTGGCGATGGTGATTGCCCTGTTCACAGCCTCTGCCTCCACCTGAGGAACAAAGGCAGGTTAGGGACAGCCCAGGCACCCTCCGAGGGTCACAGCAGAGCGTGCAGGGCCAAGATGAGGCACTTCCCACCTCTCCAGCTCTGCAAATTCCAATTTATAGTGTAACCACGGCAACTAAACGACATCAAGCTGCAGTCCCCTCTCATCAGCACCTTTTCTCCAAGGCTGCTCCAGAGTTTCTCTGCCAGCAGGCAGAGTCTGAGCTAAACCAACACTCCAGTTGCTCTGGGTCAGAGTGATTAAGCCCCTTCTTTAACCCAGACAAAAATAAGCAACTAAATGTTGACTCAACAGAGCTACTCATGGCCCAGCCCCCCCAGGAGGGAGATGCTGCACCACACACCCTGGTGAGCCACGTTTGCAAACAAGCCTCCCAAATTGTACCTTCCACTGCAATCTCTGGCTTGGGATCTGACAGAGTGTGAACCACCCCATAAATCAGCTCCTTTTCCTTTTCCATGGGCACAGGGATCGACCTCAGCAGAACTGAGGGGCACGTTGGAACTGCAGCCTCGGGATGATCAGCATCACCCTGCAGGTTTTTATGGGTCACACCCCCTAATCAAAGGATCCAGAGAGGGATTTAACAGCAGGGTGATGCTCACAGTGTCATGGAGAGCAGAGCCTGCAATCCCACAGACATTTTCCAAGCAAACAACAGAGTAAACAAACCCAGAGCAATCCACCATCTGATTCCCAAGTGCAAGAGGCTCCCAGCACCTCCCATGGACTCTGGAGGGGCTGGAACACACCCAGCACTTGTGAAAATCTGCTCTGCAGTGACTTATTGCAGCCCAAGCACCACAAACCCTCCTCATCAGTCCCAGAATCAGAACAGGCTGCCCAGAGTGGTTGTGGACTCCCCATCCCTGGCAGTGTCCAAGGCCAGCTTGGACAGGGTTTGGAGCAACCTGGGCTAGTGGAAGGTGTCCCTGCCCACTGAAGGGGGTGGCACTGGGTGAGCTTTAAGGTCCCTTCCATCCCAAACCATTCCATAACTGTGTGACTGTGCTTGAAGGAAAGAATCCCCTGGAAAAGAACCCCCAGCTCAGGGGGCTGTGCACGGACCACACTGATGGCCAAGTGTCCAGCACAGCTCTGCTCACCCTGACAAAGCCACCACTCACCCTGTCTGCAGCTGGACTGCTCAAAAAAACCCACCAGCACAACAGCTGGGAGCTTTTAAAGCAGAGCAGCCCCTCCAGAGCCATCCTGGTGGGCTCTGGTGCCCCAAGGGTTACCCAGCCCCAGCCTGTCCCCAGCCAGCCTCTGACTGACCCCCCTGGGCAGGGGGGGACACACAAGGGGATATTTTCAGGCCCAGCTGCCCCAGGCAAATGGAAAAGGCTGTGAGGGAGGGCGTTTGTTCCAGGAGGTTTGACTCAGGGTGTCGCAGCCAGGAGCACTCAGGGGCTGAAAGCAGAGCCAAGAAAAGCACAGTTGTCCCTTCTGAGAGACAAGGAGGGGACTCAGCCAGGCCAGGGCTTCCAGGCTGTGGCATCTGTTACCAAACTGCCCATTAAAGCAGCTCCTGGAAGTCACATTTCTACTCTGGTGCCTCAGTTTCCCCCCCCCCCATGTAAAGCAGTGGGATAAAACAACACTCCCCTCAGATTTTTGACCAAAGTGCAAAGCAGCAGGAGAATATTCTGTGCACAGAAGAGAACAAGGCTGCTGAATTCCTGCCTTGTGCCCAGATGCTATGGTGACAGGCACATAACAATAACCCAAGGACTAGTCCAAAGGGGAATGTTTGCAATTATCAGGATGCAGCAGAAGCCCTAGCACAGCAGTTCTCTTGGATTGGGGGAAAAAAAAAAAAAAGAAAAAGAAAAAGACAGACATTTCCTGGAGCACTTGGCCTGCTTGTGCTTCCAGCGTTTTTGTGGCTAAAATAAAAACAAAAAAATGATGGAGAAGTCATCAGAGAGTGAACTGAGCTGTGAGGGGGAGAGTTCTCCAGAAAGTGATGGGTGAGGCTGACTTGGGATGGTGGGGTTTTAACTCAGGCTCTGCTTGGTGGCTGGAACAAGGTGCTGAACCTTGTTCACCTTGGCTCAACCCAGGGGAGCGAGGTGAGCTAAACCTGAGTCAGCAGGGACACCTAAGCCTTAACTCAGTGACTCCTGCCAGGCTGGGAATGCAGATGTGCACGCTCCAAGACACAAACACACATGGCCAGAGCCTGGATGCCTCACTCTGCTGTAATTCCTGCTGAAATGAGTGGGAGTTTTGATTTAATCACAAATATTTCAGACTTGCTCAACAACTCCTGCTAGCTTGGTGTAGATGGAGTCTGAGTTAAGCAGCTCTTCAGCCAGATGACAATCATCACTGAGTGCTCAGGATGGGCTTTACATCCCCTGAGGGGCAGCATGACAAGCCAATTCTAGTGTCAACAGCACCCCAGAGGGACACAGCAAACATCCACTCCTGTGAAGTCAACAGGAATTAGGGATGTGCTGCCACCCTTGGAATCTGGGCTCTATCACCAGCCAGCCTGGAGGGAGTTGGATGTTTTCAAAAGCACAGAGTCACTCCCACCTTGGAGGGAGGGAACCAGATGACATCGTTTCCTGCCCTGCTTCCTCTGACTTCCAAGGAGGGGAATTTTGGATCAAATGCTTCCCAGCTCTGGGCAGAGCACAGCTGAGCTCAGCTGCACTGGGGGACAGCAGGGAGAGGCTTTACTGCTCCTCATCTGGGGCAGCCACGTGTCCTGGGGCAGCTTTCAGCTGTGCTGGGGGAGAGCACAGCTCTGCCCACATCAACCAGCCAGGGGAACACACAGCTCCCACTTTACAGCTCCTGCTCCACAAAGGATGAGCTTTGAAGCAGCCAGACACGGCTTGGCTAGCTTGATATCCAGATTATTGAAGGCAGGAGCAGCCTTCCTTTGGGGGTGCTCCACAGATGAGCCCCAAGTGTCGTATCAGCATCTGCTCCCACTCTCCTGGTGCAAGCCAAAAACCACATTAAATTTAAAAAAAAAAAAAGAAATAAAAATGCAGGGATGGGTGACTGGAAAGCTCAGTGCAAGTGTTCACTCACAAATTCAGGAAGCAAAAGATCCCCCACAAATTCTGTGAGGATTCATTTGCTGTCCAAGTCGAGCATTTTTCCCCCCCCCCCAAAAAAATGATTTATATTCCCACTGAAACGCCTCTGGATGCTGTTTGTCTGAAGTGAGGGGAGGAAGGAGAGCAGGAGCATGAGGGGCACGTGTGGCTGGATGATCTCACCCCCCCAGCTCCCAGCTGCCACATCTGGCAGGCAGCAAAGCCCCAGGAACTTGGAGGAACAAAAAGAACTGCTTGTACAGAACAGATGGGCTCCACAAACCAGGAATGCCACGGTGAGGTGTCCAGCCCAGAGCCACTGAACCACTGGGAAGGAAGAATGCAATGGGAACCAAGCCTCAAAGGCAAAGTTTCAAGGCTCTTTCTTACCCTTGAGATTTATTTCAAAGACTTAGAGGGATTAGGGTGCTCCCCCCTAGAGAAATCAATGGGGAAATATGAAGGTTTACTCTATTAAAGCAGTGGGCTGAGACTTGAGCATTATCTTCCCTTTCTGTGCCTTCAGCAAAGCACTTAATCCCTTGGTGTTAAAAAGAAAAATCCACCTTTGGTGAAAATGTCATCAAAATAACAAATATTACAGGAATGGAAGCAATGCAAGTGCCCAAGACAATGTCAGGATTTGGGCATACATTAAAAAATCCTGCTGATTCACTGCAAGTCTGATAAAATAAGGACCAAGAGAGAAACCCAAGAGATTGGATCTAGAAAAGTCAGTGGCAGAATCTTGCCAATATAACCCCAAATTCAGGAGTCTTTATTCACTCAAAACTCGACTGGAAGTGAGGGGAAATTAGAAAAACTTCGGGTTTAGCTCCCTAAAAACCCACATCATCAATCAGAACGTGGCATTCTGCAGGGATTCCATTTTAAAGTGTTCCTGAGCAGCAGCTGAACCGAGGAACTGGTGATTCAGGTAAACCTGTGCTTCAGGTTGAACATTCCCTACAGCTCCCAGAGCAGGATTCCAGTCTGGAATGTGCCCAGTCCCACCAGCTGCCTCCACTCTCAGTGTTTATGGTGGGCTCTGTGGCTCAAACACATCTCACCTCGTTTTAGGCACCTGATGTGTGATCAGAGCCTTTAGAGATTATCTCCAATAATTAACAGAAAGGGAGGAGCTTTTTCCAGGCTAATCCCTGGAAGTGTCTCAGCCTCTTCCCTCACCCCTTGCAGCAACAAGGTTCACAGCCAGGATGAAATCCTGTTTCCAGCCACATTCATCCCAGCAGGAAGCACTTGATGGCAGTGTGAAGATGTTATAAACTGGGGGGGGAAATGCAAAGGCAGGGGAGTCCTCACCTCCTCAGGTCTGCTCAGCACGTGCCCTTCAGGGCCTGTGATTCCCAGTTCCAGGATCCTTTGCTGCTCCTAAAGCAGAGAGGGAAAGAAAAGAGCAGGAAAGAGATTTAAGGCAGCAGTAATTTTTCTTGCAGCACACCCAGCTGTTGGGAAGGGGTACAAGTGAGCTCCTCAGCATCTGTGCTGGGTGAGAATCACATCAGGGCCCTGCAAACAGAGTCCTGTCCAACTTCCCTTGCTGACAGGAACCAGAGCTCCCAAAGCCCTTGCTGATTTGTTCACAGGAGATCAAGGAAACCTTTTATCTGGATTTGCTTCGCACTGGGTTCACAGCCCCTCGACTTCCAGTTCTCATTTGTGTCTATAAAACCATCTCTGAGAGGTGGCAAAATGATCTCTCAGGAAAAAATCATCCTGCAACTGCAGACAACTGAGCTCAGGGACTCAGGTGGGCTCTTTGCTAGTCAGACAACACAGAAATCCTCTGTATGCCTGAAACACAGTGTATAAAATGAGCTGCAGATCAGGTTAAATCCAAATAATTATTGACATTTCTTTGCTGCTGTTTGGAGGATGAACAGACCCCAAACATCAGCACCCCAGGTACTGTGTGAAGCTTTATCCCTTCCCACTCCTCTTATTTACTGCAGAGCTTTTTATTTATTGTACACAGTGACAGTCACACCCAGTTTTTCACTTTTAGGGAAAAAGGCAGAGATGTCCCACATCACCACGAACCAAAAGCTGCCACAAAAACCTCCTTTCTCAGTGGCAAGGGGTACAAAATGTGCTGTCCAGCTCTGCCCCCAGCCCTGCCACAGCTCTGCCAACGCTTTTACCACTCGAGGTGACTCCTTTTGCGAAGAAGGAAGGGGAATTTCAAGCCCTCCCAGCGTTTGGAAGGGAATAATGCCCAGAACAAACAGGCCATACCTCGGCAATGATGTCACCGTTCTCGGCGTGCACTTGGGCTGTCGCGCCAATATCCCGGATCACACTCAGGACCTCGTAGATCTGGGAGACAGGGAACACACGTTATTCCAATGGGAACACTCCCACAGGAAAGGCTGGGCCCCAGACTGCTCCAGCAAACAGGGCTTTGCAGATTTGAAGAGAAGGGGGAGCATTAAGAAATGGAAGACGCGGTTTGCCGGACACGACCCGTTCTCCTGCCTGTCACTCCATTCCCTAATTTGTACAGTTGGATGTTACTGATGTGGCAGAGAAGGGTTGTTCAATGGGTTTGGAATATTTACCACGCTGGAGGAAGAAATAACAACAGCAAAAGCCCACAGCTGGAGTGATTTTAAAGAACTCCCAGAGTTGTAGCTGTTTCGTGCCTTCATTTCCTGGGGCCTGGCATGAAGAACACCCCTTACACTTGAGTGCTGGGTGCAGTTACTCCATGAAAATCCAATGTCTGGAGGTAGGAGCAGTGTGATTTCCCACTCCAGCAACCACTTGGAGAGGGCTGAGGTCGAGTAACCCACAACTGGCGCCGTCAATGGGCCCTCATTAAAATGTTTCCAGAGTCATCAGAGATAACTGTGACACTCCAGCACCTCCTACACTGCTCCAAACAACTCCCGGGCATTCCTCTCCTCCCACAGCTTTAGGAATATCAGCTGCCCCTCTCAACAGTCCAGATGTGCCCAAATGTGCCCACAGGACCAGCAAACAGGAGGGGAATTCCTTTTTAAGGTCCCAGCAACTCCAACAGCAGGAAGCATCTCAGGACCCGGCTGGGTTTCAGCTTATAAACAGATTAATTAACCCAGAGGTCTCACTGTCCTGCTCTGTGCAGAGGCATAAAGCAGCAATTCATAAAACTGCCACTGCTTCCACCCCAAGGGAGCTGGAATAAAACCTCAGACTTCTCAAAATGAGGGGTTTGCTGTTGCTTTCCCCAGCCAAGCCTTTCAGGGTTCGTTGCTGGTTGGCTTTCATTTTTAATTAAAAATATAATCTTCCAACCAGAGCTCTGGGTCCTGTTGCAAACCTCAGGTTCTGTTACACACATAAAGACTGGAGCCAGAAGAGAATGTCAGGTCCAAGTATACTGAATTTAAACACTTTTATGTGCTTGCAGTGACAGAAGAATTGAACACCAAGCCTTCCTACCTGAGAGTCACTGAGCTGGAAGCGATCTTTGAAAGCCATGTACACCAAGAAGGAGTTCACACCTGGGAGAAGAGAGAGCACAGGTAATGCTAAAAAACACAGCCCCTCCAGCAGCCCCCCAGCAAGCAGCAGTGAGACAAATAAATGACTTTAATCTGCTGGGAAATGTGCAGAGACGTGTGTGCAGCCAGGTCACAGCACCCGGCCATGGGGGACGTGTTAACACCAGGGTGAGCCCATGTCCCAGCCATGGGGACAACTAAACCTCAGAAATGAGAATATTCCTGTGGATTCAGCACTGCAGGAGGAAAAATACAACCCAAACACATCACACACAAAAGCAGAGGCTGGGCCTGGCTGATCCCTCGCTCCCTCCAGGAGGGCAGTGGGAAAGCTGGGGGTGATGTGTTTGTGCTGCCCCAGACACAGGGAGTGCTCCTGAGCCAACTTTACCCCTCCTGCCTTCAGAACCAGTAAAAACTCTGACCCAGCACATGTGGAGAGCACTCACTAGGACGTGAAATGCTGGGTTTTTAAACTACAAACAGGATGGAAAATTCCTCCAGCCCACGGATGAAACGCCGAGGAAATTAAAGAGGGGGAGAACCTCTGAGGTCATTTTACTCTGCTTTTCACTTTCAGCAGCCAGAGTTGGATTGTTCCTTCTGGGCCTGAACTTCCCTTTTTATAACAGTTTAAAAGGCTGCAGTTATCAGCTCCCTGCACTAATGAGCTCCAAGGGCCTGCACTGGACACAGAATCACCCCTGGAAAATCAATCCCTGCCCTGCAATACCAACTGCCCAGACCTTCACAAGGAGCCAGAATGAGCCTGAAACCCCTTTCTCGGGGTATAAGAGTAAAATCCTTCACATGAAAAATAAAACAAGGAGGGGAAAGGCTTCCCTGAACTTACCATGATCTTTAACCAGAGCTTCCATCTCCTCCTGGACACCTTTATGCCACTCAGTGATATCCACGTGCAGGGAGTAGTCACAGCAGGATTTGCTGTCTGCCCATTCTCTCCACTGGTCAAATGCTGTCAGCAAACTGGTCCCTGGCTCGGGAACCACGTGGTCAACTGGGAAAGACAACCAAAGCACTGGTAAATGGCTGGCACAGAAGCTTCCCTGGGTACCTAAGATGCTCATGCTGTGCAGAAGTTGGCATGAAAACAAGACATCCACCCCCTTCCCCTTAAAACATTTGAGTTTGAGATTTCTAAGTGGTTTCTGAAGCAGGAGATGCAGCCAGGAAAATTCTGGAGCAGCAGCTGAAGGGGAGAGTTGTTACTACAGCCCCTTTAGTGCAACTGGTGCTGCACAACCCCACCAGGAGCACCTTCCAGGGACACGGGAGGACTGGAGGGAAAATCCCAACTTGGACCTTGGAATTGGACCAGAAAGAGCTGCAAACAACTGTCTCGTGTTGCTGACATGAAACTCAGAGCAGTTTGAATCACCTGGAACAATGGAAAAAGTCTTGTGTTCACTTTTTTAGGACTTTGGATAGTGTTTTCAATGACCTGGGGTGCCCAGAGCTTTAATACGTGTTCATGCTCATCAAGTTCCTGTGATTTCTTTCCCATTCCTAGATCTTTAGAAAGAGCAACTTTTGGTTGTTTATTTGAGGGTTGTGATTTTTCTTTGTGTGTTTTGTTTTGGAAGGAGCAGGACCAAGAGTTTGTCCTGGCTGGAGAGGCACCTCCTGGAAGCAACAAAGGTCCTGCTGCCTCTGCATCTGCTCAGTTTGCTCCTCACTCCAGCCCAACACCTCAGGTCCAGCAGCAACAGGGCTCAGAGGCAGAGCAGCCCCAAAGGGTGACACCAGAGACTTGGATCTGAAGGTTTAGTGTTCCTGGTTTTCATCTGAGCACGTGGGATCTCTAAAATCTCCTCTAGACACGGTGAAATAAAACAAGCAAGTCAGCATCTCCAACCCTGAACTGCTGCTGGGAGAGCAGGAAAAGCCTGTGGGACTTTGGGGGGTCACTGCTGGGGAGGAGGAGAGGACCTGGCCTGATTCTACATCAAAACACACACCAAAAAAAAAATAAAAGAATGCTTCAATTATCAGCAGAGAAACTCGAGGGGTTTATTTTTAACTTCGTGGTGAGTATCAGGGCTGCCATCAGCTCAGCAGCTCTAAATCACAGCTGGGGGAAGAGACACAGCCCTGGGTCCTACTGGCTCTCAGTGGAGAACAAAGCTCTGCTTCACCCCCACACAGACACAACAGCCAAGATTTACTGGTTTTGTGCTGCCTTAGGAACTGGATTTACACCAGGAGCTCTCACCCTGCTGCAAAACCAGCACAACCCTCCTGAACAGCCACGAGCTTCAGTGTTGTGAGGACATCTCTGATGTCTGAGCTCTGCAAACACTGTGGGAAGCCAAGAGACGACCCAAAATCATCCCTTCTCTCTCTGCCCACCCCCTCCTCCTTTTGCAAAGGAGACTGTGTGACAGGTCAGGATATTTCTGCCTTCCCAAAAGGTCTGTGTTGGCCCTGGAAGCAGCACCCCAGCCAAGGGAAGGACACGATGTGCACATATTTGCTGATGTACTGGCAGTGCAGCTGCAGCTTTGATCAGCTCAGGGCTTCAGGAGTGGCTGGTGGTCTCTGTCCACTCCCTGCCCAGCAGAGAAATCCATGCTATGACTGAAAGCTTTGACATTTGCCTGTTGTCTGGCATCACATCAAGGATGTGCTTTTTGGCCACCATTGGGAAAAGCAACCCAAATATAACCAGACAATCAACTGACCTGTTCTTTAAAAAATCATCCAATTCCTGTTCCATGATCTCCTCCTCCCCAGTGGTCAGAAACCTTCTGTTAACTTCCAGACTGAACTGTTTCTTGGCCACTACAAAGCCCCTTGTCACTCTGCCAAAGTTAATCTTTAGCTTAAGTAGAACGAACAACAAGGAGAAAAATAACATTCCCTTTGCTTTACCAGTGGGATACAGAGAACCCCCAGGTCTGCACAAATGGCCTTAACACAAGCACTGTCTTCCTCAGCCCACTGCCCAGTTAAAAAGTCAAAAAAAAAAAAAAGCCCATTTCATCTCTAACACATCACAGTCATAAATCCATCCCTACTCAAGGCAAAAGAGCTCTGTCAGCCCCAAGATGATGGATGGCTCGTGGGCATTGGGAAATCCTGCCTGAAGGCACCAAGGGGTTAACACAGAGTCTTCACAGCCCAGCACAGAGTCCCCAGGAATGACTCTGGGGCCCCCAGGAACGACTCTGGTGTCTGGGATCAGAGCTTTATCACCATCTCAATTCATGCACAGCCCAACTATGACTAATAGGAGGTTGTGGAGGGAGTGGGAAGAGGGGTAAGGGAGCTCTATCAGATCTCTGACAAAGTCAGACCACAGCTGGTTGCAATAAGGGGAAGGGATGGAGGTGGTGGTGGTGCATATGTGCAGCTCCAGGGCTCAGGAATATCTCAGATGGAAGCTGTGCTGCAGGCACATCTCACAGCAGCTCCCCTGAGCTCCCTGACAGCCAAACCACCCATCAGCCCCATCAACACACAGCACACTTTGTCCCCACAGCAGTTTTCTGCCAGGCAAGTATTAGTGATCAACCACTGCACCACATCCACGGGGAAGAAGAGAGCAAGGAGGAGGCCTGGGTGTGCCAAGGGGAGACAACAAAACCTGGGATTAAACCAGTCCAGAGCAGAGCAGAGCACGGGACAGTCACAGTGACATCCCTGGAGAAGGGTCCAAGTGCTGGAGGTCAGGCTGGACCTGGCACACAGCACCCTGGAGCAGGATGGACGCTGTGCTCCCACAGGGGAGGAGGCACAAACAGCAGGGAAGACATGGAGAAGGTGGATGTAATCCCAAGTTTGAGGTAATTCAGACACAAATGCCAAAGTCTCCTCTATTTTTCCATCCTTTGTTACAATGGAAGGGACCAACCACCTCACAAGATCATGGCCCACATCCCTACACGGGAGGGTTGGGGTTTTTGGGAGACCAAATCAGTACGAAAGAGCCTAAACCCTGGAAAGGAGAGGAGCCAGGGTTGGTTCTTCTCCTGCTGTTGAAAGAAGCACTGCAACTGCTCCTGCCTGCTGGCATGGCCAGGGATGGCTCAGGGAGAGTCCTCCCAGTGCTCAGGCACAGCTCGAGAGCCGGGAGGAAAACAAAACAGCTTTTTCTTGGAGGCCTGGGAGCAGCAGAGAGCAGCAGATGAAAGCTCCATCCCGCCGCGTTCCCACAGCCCCAGGCTCCCAGGATGACCCTTGGGGATGGATCTGCCACAGGAGCAGGGACACGAGGCCTCCTGAGCCACGGGAACACGCAGGGAATCCAGCCAGGGAGACTTCCCAGGAGGGAAAGGCAGAGCTGGCCTGACCCTGCTGAGCTGCCTCTCCCGGGGGATCCCATCTCACCACCCCATCTTCCCTCCCTTCCCCTCGGAAAGCAGGGATGTGGGATCCCATCTCACCACCCCATCTTCCCTCCCTTCCCCTCGGAAAGCAGGGGTGTGGGATCCCATCTCACCACCCCATCTTCCCTCCCTTCCCCTTGGAAAGCAGGGATGTGGGATCCCTGGAGCAGCCTCTCACACAAACTGTGGTCACCCCTTTGTCCTCCCTGATCACCTCGTGCTGCCCAGCCCTGATGTTTTCTCTTCCAGCTCAATTTTAAACTCCAAGCCAGCTCCAAAAACAGAAAAAAAACCCAAAAGAATTTAAAATAAAAAAAAAAAGTGAGAGAGAGAAAAGGAAGTATCACTTCATCATTAGGAGATATTTAAGTGATTCCAAGATTTATCCTTTCTTTTAGTCGTTCTCCACACTTGAAGCCCATGAAAAAAAAAAAAGCACACAGGACATCAAAGGCTTCCAGTATAAAATGGCCTGTAAACCTGGAGGGACTGGGACTGAGAAAAACCTTTTGTGAAGGTGAAAGCTTCAAAGGAGGAACAAAATCGTCTGTGGGCTTTGGAGTGGCTCCCTGAATCAGAGTGAAATTCAGGCCTAATCCTACATTTCTCTTTATTTAACTTCCACTCTCAGTAAGTCATATGGCAAAGCCAAGGGTAGTGGTTTCTCAGCTATGGGCAGGAAACATCCTCTACATTTATTTTTTAAACTTCTGAGCTGAAAAATCTCAAAAAAACGTGGCTCAGGAGCAAACCAACCTGTTACATCAGCAAAGGAACTGCTTTAAAATAACAATAAGAACAAGGGGGGTTAGATATTACAAATAATCTCTTTTTTTTTTTCCCTTGGTAAAATCCTGACAGGATTCCAAAGCGACTGGGAATTAGGGGGATGGATTTAAAGGGAGTGCTCCAGATATGGGGAAAATAAAGTGAATTAGAGGGAATGGATTTAAAGGGAGTGCTCCAAGTGTGGGGGAAATAAAGTGAATTAGGGGGAATGGATTTAAAGGGAGTGCTCCAAGTGTGGGGGAAATAAAGTGAATTAGGGGGATGGATTTAGAGAGAGTGTTTTAAGTAGGGGGAAAATAAAGAAATACAGTTTTAACATAAGAATGGAAAATCTAAGTGGGGTAGGGAAGTGATGGCATCACTTTATAAAGTGCATTTACTAATCACATATTAGCATATTATTATCATATATTAACATATAACCTGTATTAGAGTCTACATAATCATCCCATTTACAGACACACAAGTAATTAAGAAGCTTGAATTACTCCTACTTGTTTATAGAATTTATAGAATCATAGAATATCTCAATTTGGAAGGGACTCACATGGATATCAAATCCAACCCCTGACTCCACAAAGAGCAGCCTAAAATTTGGACCATGGCAAGCTTGGCTTTAAACATCTCTTTGTCTTCATTCAGCTTTAAACCCACCCCATGTGTTTCACTCCAAAGGGTGCCAAGCTCAGCTTTACAAAATGTGGCCTCCCATCTTGGCCCCCTTTCCCAAACTGGGACCCACTGGTCCTTCCAAGCTTTTTCCTGGAGCAGGGAGATCTCCAGAGGTGGGCACCAGGGATCCAGCACAGAAGGCTGGGGAATTAACCCCCGGCCTGCAGGATGCTCTGAGAGCAAAGCCAGGAGAAAAATCCCACATAAT